GCGCGGCTCGCTGAGACCCCGCACTCCCGCGTCCCCACGCGCCCGCCTCTGCCGCGCGCTCCGCCGCGCTCCCACACCCCGGGCGGAGGGGCGGGGAGGGCGGCGTGACACCCGGTGACAGCGCTCCGACGCCCCTCCCCGCTGGCCCCTTCCCCGCCCTTCTCTCCGCCCTCCCCCACCCCCCAAAAATACCACTTACAAATCGGGGCGAAGGGAAGAAAGTAGAAGAGGAGGGCAGAGGGGGCTCGTTGTCCAGACACTGGGGGAGATGGACACATCTCACTCTCTCCAGACGGATGAACCGAGCGGGAACCTCGACCGAGGACACCGCGAGTTGCGCGTGTGTGCTCCTCTGGCACGGTCGGGAAAGATTCAGGTCGAGCCCTTTAATCTGGAGGATGCATTTAACGCGAGGGAGATGGGAGCCAGCAACGCACAGCGCCTGGTGCCTAGTAGGCCTTCAATTCATTCTGATTTAAATGGATTTGTTTCAAGTCACGGAGAAAAAGAGGTCTTAGATAATAGAGCTGAAAGCCGGAGACAGCTTACAAACAGGTCTCCGCAAGACTGGTTAAAATGGGACCCCCCCCTTATACACACACACACTGCCGCGAAATGCGCCTGCCACCGCGAAGGGGAGATATTAGGAATCATCCCCTGAACTGTCCCGGAGGAAAACCTGGGCCTTGTGCGTGTGCTCGACGTGGTGGTTAGAAAGCCAGCAAGGACACAGCGCCGTCTGGTGTTGATAATGTGGCAGTTTGGTAGAAACAAGTGGATTCGGCCATCTGCGTCCAAGCCGGCAGCAGGAGGCCCCAAAGTGAATTAGATTTTCTGAATAATGTCGCCCTCACCTCTACAGCTGGAAAAAGTGAACGGATGAAAGCAACCGCCTCATACCTTAGGGAGGAGTTCAAGGCTTCGGAATTATCCAGCAAATCGTCTGAATAATTGGAAAGATACAAATCCACTTCCTTCCCAGCAACCCTCTTTCACCAGGAACAATAGTGATTAAATGACCCTAAAACAGCCCAGGGGCTCAGAGGAAGGATGCTAAAAGACCATGCATTATTTTATGGGTATCTGAATAAAATAATTTAAAAAGCAGGTAGTCAGCAGGGCTTAGTGGTGATACTGGTGAACACACACTCACACACACACACACACACACACACACACACACACATGCTAACTAGCTGAGGCCTGGCAGTCAGAAGTGAACAGGACTGAAAGTTTTAGTCTCTATTCAGCCACTGATTTACCTCTATGACTTAGAAGAATTCATTTAGCCTTTCTGGGCTTGAGTTACTGTGAGTATAAAATCAGAGCAAAATTCAATTTAATACACATTTATTGAAGGCCTAATATGACTCACATTCTGGGGAGAGAGAAAGGAGAAAAGCCAGCCCCTGCCTTCAAGGATCTGGTAGATGAACTGAGGGTTACTAACAATGGCAATGACAGAATTGCAGACGGTGATAAATGCTGTAGCTGCGATAAACTGAAGGTGCTGAGAAAACATGGATCTATCTGTGAAGCCGGCTAGAGTCGGGGAGGCATCAGGGGAGGCCCCCTGAAAAAGCCGCTTGGGAATGAGACGAGCAACAATTCGGGTCAACTACTTGCAGGAGATTTATTTTACATTAAACGCTTATTTATCCAAGCACGGTCTGCCAGGCACTAAGCACTTTACACATTTTAACTCGTTTAATCTTAACCATAGCTCTATAAAGTAAGTATTATTTATTACTCTACAGATGGGGAATGGGAGCACAGAGAGGTTAAGTAACTTGCACCAAGTCCCACACTAGTAAAACAGAGCTGGGATTTGAACACAGGCAATCTGGCTCCAGAATCCATATGTATAACTGTTATTTTATTCAGCGACCTAACACACATTCTTTGAATATTGTTTCACAGAGCACCTGAACTATTTTAGGGCCACTCAAACACTATTATTCCTGGAAGAAAGTATTTCAGGGAAGGAAGTGGATTTACATTCCCCAGTTTTCCAGATGATTCACTTAATATCTGGATGTCAGAAAGACATCCAGGCAGAGCAATAGCGTGTACAAAGGCGTGGAAGCCTAGAAAAGTAGGCAACATTCTGGGAACTGCAGTATGGCTGGGAGTAGAGCTCATGTGACAGGGACAGGAGATGGCTCTGGGGGTGTGCAGGAACCTGGTAATGAAGGGCAAAAGAATTTGGATTTTATCCTGGTGGCAATGAGGGATCACTGGAACATTTCAAGCACAGGTGTGGCATGAGTGTTGCAGTTACTATTACTATGTAATGAACTACCCCCAAATTTAGTGACTTGACTCAACCATTTTGTTATGATCATAAATTCTGCAGGTCAGGAAATTGGACAAAGCACAGCTGAGACTGCTCTTCTTTGCTCCAGTACGTCTGAAGCCTCAGCTGGGAAGACTCAAATGGTGGCAGCTGGAACAGCTGTGGCTGGAGGACCCACTTGCAAAATGATTCTGAGTTCTGTTACCTGGACCGGGATAACCTGAAATCTGGTTCAACTGGGACTGAGCGTCTACACGTGGCCTCTCCACGTGACTTGGACTTTTCACAATATGGTGGCTGGGTTCTGAGAGGGAATTTCCCGAGAGGGGACCTCCAGGCAATGAGCATTGCAGGACCATTGGAAGCTGCATGGACCTTCTGCCCTAACCTTGAAAGTCGCACAGTGTCACTTCTGTGGGCTCTATTGGTAGAAGCAGTCACAAACCTGCTTAGATTCAAATGGAGAACACCCTACCTCTCAATGGAGCAATGTCAAAGGACTTGGGCCCCAGCTTTAAAACCACCCTAATGAGATATGTTTTGGGGGAAGACCACTCAGTCAACAGCGTGGAGAGTGGATTGGAGGGGGTAAATGGGGTCTCGTGAGAGAGGGGCTCTTCCTGACCACACGGATTGGGAATGGCAGAGGGATAGTTTCCAATGAAAACTGGATATCATTAGCAGACAAAGAGGAAAAGTGGAGTTTGAGAGATCTGAGGACATCCAAGGGGTGGGGGCGCTCGTTGATTAAATGACCAGCATAGACAATTGTCTAGACACAAGTTGGATTGTTAGTCAATTTGAAGCTCAGAAAAGCAATTTGGGCTCAGATTTGGGAGATGTCAGCATACAAATGGTAGTGAAAGCCCTGTATGCAAATATGGAATGAGTGGAGAAGACCCAGGAGAGTCACTAGAGGGTCCTGTAATTAAGCAGAAAGGAAGGAGGAAGGAGAGGGAGGTAAAAAAGAAGAAGCACTAAGAGTGTTTCATGGAAGCCAAAAGAGGCAGATTTTAAGGTGGAGTGGTCAGCAGTGTCAAATGCCCCAGAGGGGTCAGGTAAGACCTTGAACGTGCCCAATGGATCTGGCATTTAGGAGGTTCAGCTCACTGGAGATCCAACTCAAAGTCTTTCTCACTGTGTCCATTTTCAAGGAATTTGTCCATTTCTTCTAAGTTGTTGAACTTGTTGGTGTAAAATTATTCCTAATGTCCTCCCACTATCTTTTGAATGTCTGTAAAATCTGTAATGATGCCTCCTCTTTCAGACCTGATGTTGTTCATTTGGGTTCTCTCCTTATTCTTGATCACTCTCGAGTGGGTTTATACCACGTCTGTCTGACATTGTGACGCTGGCCGATGTTTGAAGGAAAGTTTAAGATCTGTGCTATTTCAGGTAGGAAGAGGCCTCCAAAGGAAAGTTAAAACCTTAAAAAATAATCCCCCCCAAAATCGGACACAAATGAATGGGGGAAACAGATCAAATAGTTGATTACATCAGCTGAATAACACATCTAGGCCAGGCCTTGGGTCATGAAGATAAAATCTGTTTCTTGGCTTTATTCTGTCATGAGTTGAATAAAGTACCCAGCTTTGGACCTCTTTTTAGCTGAAAAAAATGATTTTGCTGAAGTCAGCTTCCAAACTGTACAAGGAATTCAGATACCAACCAGGATGGCTCCTTTAGGCAACAAGTGGCATGTAGCCTTGGCAGTAGAAAGACAGACTTTGTTGGGAGCTCTGTGTCTTTGAACAATTTCTTAACCTCTCTGAGCCTCAGTGGCCAAAGTTGTAAATTATACATATCTCGTTTGGGTATGTGGAAGGATTAAGTGAGATAATATGTGTAAGGCACTCAATAAATGGCAACCAAATCATGAGCCTTTTCACCCCAAGTGGTGGAAACCCAATCCAAATTTAGCTTGTGGGGGAAAAAAATGAATTTACGGATGTGATAGCTTTTTGATGTATCAACTTGGCAAGGCTGAGTTACAGTCCCCTGAATTCCCCTTCTAATTAGTTTCGATTTAGAGGGGGCTACAGGTGATAAACTCTCTCAAGAGTTGGAGGATGGAAGGGAGGCGGAAGCCATCTTGTAGCATACATGCACCTTCTTCGAGATATTTAATCAAATACCGGTCTAGGTGCTGTGGTGAAGGAATTCTGCAGATGTGATTAAGTCCGTCATCAGTTGACTTTGTGTTAATCAATAGGAGATTATCCTGGGTGGGCCTCACTTAATCAGTTAGAAGTGCTTTAAAAGCAGGCTTAGGCCTTCTCTGAGGTAGAGACTCCAAGTAGCTGCTGGGTCAACAATTGCTCTCCCTTCCTTCTAGATCTTCCTTCCTGACTGCAACCTGTGAACATCAAATTTCAGCCCTTGCCAGGGGGTTCCAGCCTCCTTCTGATCTTCTCTCCCTGTCCTATGGATTTCAGACTTGCTTAGCCAGACCCCGCAGTTGTGTAAGCCAACTCCTTGTAATAAATCCATATCTATATCCATCTATCTATCTATCTATCTATCTATCTATCTATCTATCTATCTACTTCTCCGGTTGAACCCTAACT